CTTACCGTACCTTTAACAAAAGAAAAAGAATTGGGGGTTGGAAATTCAAGAATGGGATGTGGAAATAAGCCCAAAGAGTTAAAGAAAGAAAAGGCAAGGCCATTAATAGTTTTGAAGGAGAAGGCAAGAGAGATGACTAGTTTTGGCATCAGAGTGCTGGATGGATGTGAGTAGGCCCAGGCGATGTATCGTATTTGGTTCCTGTTGGTTGGTATCAGGGTACTAGTGAATAAAGAAGATCATGCAAGCCTAAAGTCTGGCCTCATTGATTTTAAACTGTGTGCTGCACCTGGTATCTTTTAGGTGATGTTGAGGCATCTAATCATAGCCTGCATTTTTATCAAGGCTTATAGTTTGATTAGGGTCTGTATTTTAAAATGAGCTTAAAGATTTTCAAATGTTTTATGCCAGGCAGAAGACCAGCTGCCTAAGTACTTTGGCAAGATGTTTATCCTCCTGGACAAGGGGGCCCCCTGATTTATAGCAGAAAACAATTCTCAAAGTCGTAAAAAGGGAATTACAGGCTGAGAGCAAGGTTACACTGACCCTACATAATTAAGAGTTGGTAAATAGTAAAATAAAACCATGTTTTATTTAAACTTGAGCCATATCTTCCTAAGGTTAAAGGCCAAGAGCAAATGGAAAAGAAAGCAACTGGCTGGAGAAGGGGAGTGTAAACAGAAGAAGAGGCTTTTTTCCTATTTTATTTTGAGGCTGTAAACTGTTCCTTCCTTTTACTTTGAGAAGGTTTATTCTTCTAAAAAGCTATCTATGATAATGTATGAAATATACTGGCTTAAATGTAATTATGCAAAGGATCTAGAAAGAAAGAAATGTTAAATTCTTATTTCATAGAGTCATATTGCTGTAGGAGACCAGAGGGGCAAACGAGCCCAGCCCCCTGCCAGACAGGAGACGCCATCGAGCACTCCTGATATATGGTTGTCAGGCCTTTGTTTAAAGACCTTCAAAAAGGAGATCTTTCATTGATGATGCATGAGAATGTGAACCCAAGATCTCTGACATCTGTTTAAGATAAAAATTTAAAACTATTAACCATCTGTTTTGGAGGGCAATAGGGCAAGGAGGGCAAGAGGTGAGCTGGTAATTAAGGTTCCTTGTTGAGACAAATGTAAGATATATGACTACTTATTTGTCATTTATAGATAGAAGAATATATAGCTTTTTGTATCCCATAAAAGGCAATAGGAAATGGGTGTATCTTTTAGGATTGGTTATAGCAATCAGCCAATAAGAAATTCAACCAGGCTGATTGGACAGAGGCAGCCAAAGGAGGAGCAAGGGTGCTGGGCTGAGGGAATATAAGTGCTGGCCATGAGGGCTGGAAGGCCAGAGCACTGGTAACCATATACCACTGTGTCTCTCATTTATTTGTCTGACAAATAAATTATTATTTTAATTTCTCTATTGCTGCGTTGAATATTTCATTCCAGCTAAGCGTTAACCACAAGCAGGGTGCTACAATGTTAGATAACGGATTTTCAATGTTGGATGTTTTTCACTAAACTGGAGTGGCCTAGGCTCAGGTCCATATAGGTAAAGCTATGGTTTTCCCAGTAGTGATGTATGGAAGTGAGAGCTGGACTATAAAGAAGGCTGATCGCCGAAGAATTGATGCTTTTGAATTATGGTGCTGGAGGAGACTCTTGAGAGTCCCATGGACAGCAAGAAGATCAAACCTATCCATTCTTAAGGAAATCAGCCCTGAGTGCTCACTGGAAGAACAGATCCTGAAGCTGAGGCTCCAATACTTTGGTCATGAGAAGAGAAGACTCCCTGGAAAAGACCCTGATGCTGGGAAAGATGGAGGGCACAAGGAGAAGGGGATGACAGAGGACGAGATGGTTGGACAGTGTTCTCGAAGCTACCAGCATGAGTTTGACCAAACTCTGGGAGGCAGTGGAAGACAGGGGTGCCTGGCGTGCTCTGGTCCATGGGGTCACAAAGAGTCGGACATGACTGAACAACAACAACAACAACAGGCTCAGATGCGAGAGTGTAGCTTCTGTGAAATAACTGGTACTTCTGTGGCACCTCTCTGGTCTGGTGTTCATAACCGTGTGTTCTTCAAGTCCTGGTTTTCAACTAAAGCGAGTGCCCATGGAATGATGCCAGCCCACTAATTGCTTCCTGGTCCGCGGCAAGGGAGCCAGTTCAGCCTCATGCCAATTGGCAGCATGCTTCAATGTCTTCTTCCTCCAGTAGCAACTGGAGAACTGGCAGGGTCCCAGAAGAAGAGCAGATTTAGTGCCACTCTATTTATAAAAAGAGAGGGAGAGAAAGAGAGGAAGGGATGAGAGTGGGATGGAAATAAGCCTCAAGGAATCACAGTCCTACTAGCTTTCCCTCTACACCTTGGAAGAGATCAGAACATAGAAACACCTAAAAGGAAAAGCTTGCCAATAGCTGGGTGAGACAAGAGAGAAAGAGAGAATAGCTTAATTGAAGCTGAAAAAGGAAGTAAAGCAGAGTAGGGAGAGAAAAGAGAGAGCATTGACAGACGTGCAAGAGGTGGATTTGCACTGTTTTAAAAAGACAGGAAGAGAAAAGGCACAAAAGCAAGAGAGAACACTTGACTCTTCTCTGCCATGTATGAAGTGAGCTGCTCAGGGTGCTGCTAGCCCAGGCACCCCCAAACTCGACCCTCCAGCTGTTTTGGGACTGCAATTCCCATCATGTCTGACCACTGGTCCTGTTAGCTAGGGATGATGGGAGTTGTAGTCCCAAAACATCTGGACGGCTGAGTTTTGGTACGCCTGTGCTAGCCTCTACTCCAAATTGCTGGAAAACCACTACCCGTTTTGTCTTTAGGGAAGATGTTTGGTTGCCGCCTTACATCTTTTTGTTAGCATGCACACAAGATATCTCAGTGGATGGTGGACGCATCTTGCTTCCTGGGGCTGCTTCCAGACTGTCACTTTTTGTGGATATGATCTGATCATAAGCCGGCAAATTTACGTTGTGCAATATCAAGTGAATTTGGTGCTTTTTTGTGACAAACCTGCTCTAACAAAAAAGCACCACCACCACAGGTCAAAATTTTTGTGGATCACGAAGAACTTTCTGAGGGTCAGAGCTGTTTGACAGTGGAATAGACTCCCTTGAAAGGTGGTGGATTCTCCTCCCTTGGAGGTTTTTAAGCAGAGGTTGGATGGCCATCTGTCATGGATGCTTTAATTGACATTCCCTCAGGGTGCCTTCCAACTCTACAATTCTATGATTCTGTGAAAGTACACACAGGAAAATGTGAGATGTCAGTGTCACTGGGTGATGTCATATAATATCTGCAAACAAATCCGAACGAATGCTCAGCAAACAGTGACATTGTACAACAATCTTTGTGCAAACTTTGTGCAAACATCTCAAGGTGGATGCTTAGTAAACAGTAAAATGTCATGGAAATTATGCAAAAAATATTCCCAGAAAAGATGCATAACAAGAGCATCTTTAATACAAAAGGGTTTGCGGTGGAGAAAACCACACAGCGGGTTGTAGCTTGTAATGCAGAACTGAAACTGAAAGCATAGCTTCTGAACGTTGGCTCAGTTGGCTCTTGGTATGGCAAGCCAGAAGGGCCAAAATACTACAGAAGATCCTCGTGTTAATGCATGCACCTGAAAATGCTGTTTGAATGCTCAGCTGTAGTTACATCCTCACCTCCACAACCTGTCTAGATAGTGAACGCTGCTAAATGCCCTGATGAGGATGATAATAATAATAATAGTAATTCATATATATCTCAGTACAATGAATAATTACTGTAAGTGATGATAGGGAACATACGATACAACCAACACTTAAAAAAACCTCACAGCGACGAGAATAAAAGATGTTACTCATTAAAACTGGCATCAATAAAACTAGGTGTTACACATTAAAAGCTTGTTGAAATATGTGTCTTTAGTTTCTGGCAAAAGAAACAGAAAGAGGGAGCCTGACAGATTTCAGTGGGAAAGAACATTCCAGAATTGTGGCATCACCACAGAAAGGACCTTGCTCCTCCTAGGTCTCCAGTGATGCATGAGGAGATTTCGAGGATGGGTGCGAGAGATGGCCTTTTCTGGGGCGATGCTGCGACTTTCTGAGTTTCAGCTGCCCCGTACCAAGTGTAACCACAGGCCTGTTTTCATACTGAGTGTTCTTAAACATTCTTTTTAGTGTTTTAAACGTCGGCTATTAAGGGACGCGGGTGGCGCTGTGGGTTAAACCACAGAGCCTAGGACTTGCCAATCAGAAGGTCCGTGGTTCGAATCCCCACGACGGGGTAAGCTCCCGTTGCTCGGTCCCTGCTCCTGCCAACCTAGCAGTTCGAAAGCATGTCAAAGTGCAAGTAGATAAATAGGTACCGCTCCGGCAGGAAGGTAAACGGCGTTTCCGTGCGCTGCTCTGGTTCGCCAGAAGCGGCTTAGTCATGCTGGCCACATGACCTGGAAGCTGTATGTCGGCTCCCTCGGCCAATAAAGTGAGATGAGCGCCACAACCCCAGAGTCGGTCACGACTGGACCTAATGGTCAGGGGTCCCTTTACCTTTACCTTTATTAAGTTTTCAAATGCCCTCTTCTTTCAGAAGCAAGTGTGGGACAAGCTATTACAAAGGGAATCATTGCAATGTGCTCAGGGCGTGACCATTGGCCTGAGCATAGATGTGTTACAAATGAACAAATGTTTAACCTGTGGAAGGTTTGGGGTGGCAGGCATGCTCTCTTCAAGATGCAAATCTCTTTCTGAACTGCCCTTGCCTCTGTTTACTTCCAGCTGACTTCTTTCAAGTCAAATTCTCCACACACACCCCCCCCCAGTTTGTCTATCTGGTATATATTGTGAGCCTGTGGGGAATGGGAATTACGTTTTGTTTGCTTGATCACCAGGGGAGCACCCCCTTGTCCAGCCAGCTGAGATCTGCAGGGTGCAGTGCCTTCACAGAAGTGGCACCACGCACTTTTGGCTGCTGGGAAAAAAACAGCTGCTTCCCTTCTCAGGTTCTGGCATGAACTTACTGCAAATCCATGAGAAAGTATGGAGTCCGGCCTGTCTTGATGCTTGTGCACCTGGATTAGGGAAAAAGTTGGGCCATCCTGTACCATCTAGCAAAGTACTGGTATGTACTGCTGTGACAAACATGACAGTGGAGGATTAAGGCCTGTGTCTCCTACACTTATTTGTACAGTGGTACCTCGGGTTAAGTACTTAATTCGTTCCGGAGGTCTGTACTTAACCTGAAACTGTTCTTAACCTGAAGCACCACTTTAGCTAATGGGGCCTCCTGCTGCTGCCGCACCACTGGAGCACGATTTCTGTTCTCATCCTGAAGCAAAGTTTTTAACCTGAAGCACTATTTCTGGGTTATCGGAGTCTGTAACCTGAAGCATATGTAACCTGAGGTACCACTGTATTTTCAATGGACTGCAAATTTAAACTGGTTTAAATTACTGTGGCTCCCCCCGTCAAAGATCCCTGGGACCTAGATTGTTGGAAGGGATCTAAGAAATTAATCGATAGCTGCAAAATTTGGTTGTATATGTTATGTGATCTACAGGTATTGCGAACGCTGTTTTAGAGTGAAAGAGAGTCTGCCATCGGACTTTAAATGGCTACTTGCTCTTGCTTGAAACTGATGTGGCAGATTATTTCAGGAACAGGTACTTGCGAGTGTACTGTAAAAATGTTAGGTTAAAAAAAAATGCTGGTAGAATTTTGAGTCTCTCTGTAACAAAATAGTAGACTGTGGCTGCTGGATTGATCTTTTGCAGCTCTCTCTTAGACTTTTGTGGATCTTCTGTAGAGGAAGCTAGATGTTTTTCTTAAAGTGTCATATGCTTGATGCAAAAGGGTTATGGTGCTCTTAAACCAAAAACCTTTCATATTGTACTCTTTCCCCCCATTTTTAGGGTTGTGTTTCACCCTACCACACCCAGCGCTTTGGGTTTAATTCTGGCTGTAAAGTCGTTGCATTTACTGGAGACAATCCAGGTAAGAAAGTCAACATTCGCTTGGTAGAATTCTGAGTCTCTCCATGATTCTATCCCTTGTCTAATTTTTTCTAGGTCCCTTATGATTATTCTAAAGAGGCTGCAATGGTTTCTGTGCCTGGATTGCAGCCATCCAGAAAAAGAAAGCTGAAGTTAAGTCTTATGAAGAACAATGGGACTTAGTTGCACAATTAACAGCTTCAGTCCCATTTATTTTGATGGAATTAAGGTGCGCCTATCTATTCAGTTGTATCTATTGTGCAGGATGTCCTAGTACAGTGGTGCCTCGCAAGACGAAAAGAATCCGTTCCGCGAATCTCTTCGTCTTGCGGTTTTTTCGTCTTGCGAAGCAAGCCCATTAGCGGATTAGCGGATTAGCGCTATTAGCGGCTTAGCGGCCTTAGCGGATCAGCTGATAAGCGTTAGCGTCTTAGCGGATCAGCTGATAAGTGGCTTAGCGGATCAGCTGTTAAGCGGCTTAGCGGCTTAGCGGATCAGCTGATAAGCGGCTTAGCGGCTTGGGAAAAAGGGGGGGGGGAGGAAAAAAACCCTGCAGGAACTCGCAAGACATTTTCGTCTTGCAAAGCAAGCCCATAGGAAATTTGTTTTGCGAAGCACCTCCAAAACAGAAAACGCTTTCGTCTAGCGGGTTTTCCGTCTTGCGAGGCATTCGTCTTGCGGGGCACCACTGTATCTGATACAAAGGCTGATCTCATAATTTCACAGGACTCTCTTGCTTGCATTTTCAGCATCCATGGCAGCAATGAGACTTAGAGAAGGGGACATTGCAGTAAGTGTTGATGTATTCATGCTTTGCTCATACTGCTAATCCAGTGCTGTAGGGGGTAGTTGCCTTGAGCAGCAGTTCTACATTGTACATTTTGGTGTTCGACATATTTTGAAAATACATTTGAAATATCACCTTCAGGTTCTGTTGATTTAAGTGGAAGATAAGGCTACAATCCTTATCATAGTTACTTTGGAATAAGATCCATGGAATGTAATAATAATAATAATAATAATAATAATAATAATAATAATAAAAATAATAATTTACTATTTATACCTGCCCATCTGGCTGGGTTTCTCCAGCCACTCTGGGCGGCTTCCAGCAAAACATAAAAATACAATAATCCATCAGATATTACAAGATTCCCTAAACAGGACTGCTTTCAGATGCCTTCTAAAAGTCGGATAGTTGTTAATTTCTTTGACATCTGATGGGAGGGCATTCCACAGGGTGGGCGCCACTACCAAAAAGGCCCTCTGCCTGGTTCCCTGTAACTTTCCTTCTTGAAGTGAGGGAACCGCCAGAAGGCCCTCGGCGCTGGACCTCAGTGTCCGAGCTGGACGATGGGGGTGGAGATGCTCCTTCAGGTATACAGGACCAAGGCTGTTTAGGGCTTTAAAAGTCAGCACCAACACTTTGAATTGTGCTCGGAAACATACTGGGAGCCAATGTAGGTCTTTCAAGACCGGTGTTATGTGGTCTTGAGGTAAATCCTTACGTAGTGGGATTTACCTCTGAATTTTAAAAAGCATGGGAATCCTGTTATGCATGTCCTTAAATATTTCCCCATTAAGATCAGTGGTGCTTAAAACGCTTAATTTTGACTGGATTGTGTGCCCTAAAAAGCACAGGACATGTGCATTGATTACCCTTTGCTGGTCTGAGATAGATTCCATTTCTGTTGAGAAGGTTTTCGGAATGGATTGAGATGATGTAGAAAGAAAGTTGATTAACTAACCTAGTGAAACGACTCTGTGCCTGAATGCATAAACAAGCTTTGTTAAAAGGTATGGCTTGGAGTGAAGTCGGGTGCTAGGAAGGCTTGGGATTCTGTGGCGGCTGTTTCACGCACGCAAGTCATCACTGTATGTCACAGTTGTTCAGTGACGATTATGCATGTGTGAGAATTTACCCTAATAAATCCATAGATTTCCTTTCACTTCCTTCTGCACTATGCTTCACGCAAAGGTGACAAGCCAAGCTGATACCTAAAGAATGCAATTGCCTTAATGTGTAATTCAAAGATAATTAGTACTACAAACAAATGGGTTTAATTTAATTTCTGCATTGCTTTTCATGCACGTTGTGCACTAACACCTCAATTATTTCCTCTCGCAGATTAGCCTTGGCACTAGTGATACATTGTTTCTCTGGATTAAAGAGCCAAAAGCTGCTTTAGAAGGTCACATCCTCTGCAGTCCAGTTGATTCACAAGCCTACATGGCCATGCTGTGGTAACAAAGTTTATATTGTTTCACATATGAATACTGTATTCATTTGGAGTTGGGCCACTGGCCTGTTTCCTATAGTCCTGTCTACTCTATTTGGGCACTGGAGTAGGTCCAGTGATCTCTTTTTTACGAGGTGTGTCCCCAGCTAAAATAAGCTTTGGTTACACAATTAGATCTTATGGGCCTGACAGCATCTCTTGATTCCAGGAGCCCACAAGCCTTTTCAGACAGATTTCTTTTAATTGGTAGGTCAGACATGCAAAAAGTAAGTCCTACCAGCTTCAACAGGACTGAGTTACATAGGATTTCCATTTCAGAAGACTTGTGTTGTGCTATGATTTCCAGACCCCCAACAAAATGATGATGTAACTTTCAAATTTTGATCGGATCTGTTGCGAGATTCGACTGGCATTTTATAACTTTAGCTTTATAATTTACTTTAGTTATAAGAATGGTTCTTTGATGAGAGAGAAGATTCGAGATGAGCATGCCTCTGGCTCATGGGAGGAATTTTCCAAAGCGCTTTTGTCTACGGCTGTTGGAAATGATGGAAATGTGGGTATGTGTCTTTGAAAAGAGGGAAGTATCAAGGTTTGATTAGATGCTTTAGCATCTGCTCCACTGGCCTCTTGTGCATCAATGACCTGCTCATCTACCAGAAGAGCAACACAATCTTCTGCCATCAGACACACTGGCTTCAGCAGACTACCAGTAGCCACTGGAAGAGACATAGAAATCACCGTCAGAAAAAGGCAGTGATTCTTCCCTTGCAAGTCACAGTCAAACTCTGGTTTATAACTGTGGGTTCCAGGACAAGTGCATGCCATTGTTTGCTGGTTAAGATGTAATGGAAGACCGTGGTATACCAGAAACCAAGAAATACCTATTTAAACAGAGCATATGAGGGGAGGAGGGAGGGGGAAGAAGGAAGGGAGAGAGGAAGCAACATGTAAAGGCTTGAACATGTAATGCCCAAACACAAAGTGTAAATCATTCTGCTACTTATTGTTGTCATAATATATATATATTTAGGTTAAAGATTGTTGTTACAAAACACAAACGTGGTAATATTTATAACTTTCCATTTAGGCTTTTATTTTGATGTGATGGAGATTATACCGGAGACCGTGGGAATTCACCGATTCAACACACACAACAACAGAGTAAGATCAGCCTCACATCTTTTTTTAAGGGTTACTTGAAGCGTAATTGAATTCCAGCCTGGGCAACACTTCGACATACAAACCCTTCCTCAACACGTGTCACAACTTTGCATGCTCCAAAATTCATAACCAGGCAATAGCAACCAAAACAGATATCAAGCGTTTCACTTCCCTAGAATGTATGGCACGTCAAGTTTGTCCAGGTCAAGGTACCCCTGACCGTTAGGTCCAGTCGCGGATGACTCTGGGGTTGCGTGCTCATCTGGCTCTATAGGCCAAGGGAGCTGGCGTTTGTCTGCAGACAGCTTCCGGGTCATGTGGCCAGCATGACTAAGCCTCTTCTGGCAAACCAGAGCAGCACACAAAAACACCATTTACCTTCCCGCCGGAGCGGTACCTATTTATCTACTTGCACTTGATGTGCTTTCAAACTGCTAGGTGGGCAGGAGCTGGGATCGAACAACTGGAGCTCACCCCGTTGTGGGGATTCGAACTGCCGACCTTCTGATTGACAAGCCCTAGGCTCTGTGGTTTAGACCACAGTGCCACCCACGTCCCTGGGATATTTTGTCCATGGGATATTTTGAATCAAATCCCTCCTCAGCCCCTGATTTCAATAGCAATGGCTTTGGGCTAGATTCTCTTGTCTGTACCACAGCTTTCCATTTTTAAAACGAGAGATAGTAACCACAGCCGAACCTCACATGCTTGTCACAAATATAAATAAAGGTTACAAAGCACTTTAAACACTTGTTTTCTAGCAGTGATCCTTGGGAGGAAGTCCCACCACATCCACTTGCTTCCTAGTGTGTGAACTTTGGTCTGCAGCCATCAGTGCAGTAAAACAAAACAATGTGCTGGTCCATGGGGGAGTTTGTCAATATTTGTGATACAAGCTTCCTTATTTAAACAGTGTCCATGGGACAGAGAAAAAAAAAGATTCCACACCTCACTGAATTAGGCTGCAATCCCAAGCACACTTACCTGGGAGTAAGCCCCACTGAACTCATTGGAGCTTGCTTCTGGGTAGAGATGCAAAGGATTTCACTGTTACGAAGGGAAGTGACAGCACCGCAGGGTTAGTTTTAATCAGACAGCAGGAAGACAAATTTCTGCTGGTGAATTTATCCGTGGCTCTGCTTTCTGCGGGACGCGGGTGGCACTGTGGGTTAAACCACAGAGCCTAGGACTTGCCGATCGGAAGGTCGGCGGTTCGAATCCCTGCGACGGGGTGAGCTCCTGTTGCTCGGTCCCTGCTCCTGCCAACCTAGCAGTTTGAAAGCACGTCAAAGTGAAGTAGATAAATAGGTACTGCTCTGGCGGTACCTATGCGCTGGCGGTACCTATGCAGCGTTTCCGTGCGCTGCTCTGGTTCGCCAGAAGAGGCTTAGTCATGCTGGCCACAGGACCCGGAAGCTGTACGCTGGGTCCATCGGCCAGTAAAGCGAGATGAGCGCCACAACCCCAGAGTTGGACACGACTGGACCTAATGGTCAGGGGTCCCTTTACCTTTACCTTTACTGCTTTCTGCACTCCACCCCTCCAACAAAAATGTTATGTAAGCGAGCTTCAAAACGTCCTTTACATATGAAGGAGAAAATACAGAAACAAAGTTAGCAGTTGCGCTGGAAATATTTCATCAAGCCTTGATTTCAGGATTGAGGAATATCAGCCAGGACAAGATTATGAGCTGAATTGGGGTTGTCATGATGCTGCGGGAAGGCAAAGTAGCTCTGACTAAGTACAGACTCAGAAGGCGAAGGCAACTTTGACGTATCATAAACCGGGCATTTGGTGTGCATGGTTTTAAAGTAGCCTCTCTTACTGCATTGGACGCATGGATATAAATCTGTTTTTCTTTCTTTACAGGTCTCAACATTTCCCAAGGAACTGGAGATACGGGCCTTGATTGAAGGGCAGTTCATGGCCAAAAGGATTCATGCTGAAAAGCTGGGATATACAATCCGTGAGTGTGTCTATGGCATGACAAGAGAGCTAAAAGAATGCTGCATTAAGCTGATAAGTCCTGTTTGAATAGTTGGATGCACATTCCTGCATTCCCCCCCCCCCCGGCCGATCTGGATCAAAAAGAGCACAACTGCCCAGCTCTGAGGCGTACCGCCATGCTGAAGGGTCCCTGTGGGTCAATAGTTTGAGTCTGGGCTAGAGAAAGCTTCCTCAGAGTTTTTCCTTTTCTAAACACTGGATCTGAAATGAAATATCCTGCCTGAGAGAAGGGGTGCTGAAATGGAAAAAGTGGATCGCTTGGATCTACAGACGGTTGAAAGTGTAGTTTGGGTGGCCTCCTTCCTTTTGGTCTTCCCCGCCATATTGTGTGATTGCATCGGTGTCCCTGGAAGTTGTGGGTGACTGATGGCTACATTCTGGCTCTTTGTGCATTGCGCTAAGTCCCGGTGTGGCGATCACACACAGGGCCCCCGGACGTTTGATGGTCTATTGACCCTGTGCCGCCACTGCGATTGCTTTTTCCGCTGCCACCACCCTGTATCTCACGGGGACACACGGAGTCCAGTCAGTTGTTAACATAAACAAATAATCAAGTTTATTTTTAAATGCAGGAACAAGCTTATGGTTTCCGTTGATTTTTCTCTTGTTAGTTTCTTATTCTTAGTTCCTAACAACTCCAAACTGATTATTCCAACTATCTATCTGACTCCACCTAACAATTCCTCTCATTCTCTCACAATACAACTCTACCAACCCACTGCCTATTCCTCCCTCTTCCTTCTTCAACTCCCAAACCTAAACCCAACTCAACTGACTTTCAAAACCTCCCACTCTAACTTTTATTCCCCCCTTGCATTCTCACTGGCCAATCGCATCACACCTATTTTAACCCTTTCCTTATGACCCATCCTAGGAGGCAAACGCCACACCCAGCTTGCCAGTGAAAGGAAGGGTGGTTTGTTGCAGGAGCCGAACCAAAAGTAGGAAATCACTTTGCTTTTGAAGTCTAAACATGTTGGCTGCTTCAAGGCTTACAGAGCCATCTGGAATGTGCGCCTTCATTCCCTTGATTTTGGCATCGTTCTGAGGAGGCAAGGGGGAGCCATGGAAGTCTAAAGGAGGCTGAGGTTGAGCCGAGCCTATAAGCCACCAGAGCTGATTGCATTGGCGGAGCCTGCCTGCTTTGGCAGCGGCAAACCACTCTGTCCCCAGAGAAGCTCCAGCAGTTGCCACTTCGGCAGCTGCAGCCTTGCTACCAGCGGCAACTAACTTTGGCAAGGATGCCACCAGCTGTACAGCAGCTGTAGGGATTGGTGGAGCTGCTCAGGATCGCTGGCTTGTTCTGATTGGACTGCTGTTTCGTTTGGGCTGCCGCCACCACTTGAAGGGCCCATCAGAACTGTTGGCCTTGCTAGATCTGCTGGTCTTGAGGTTGGGCAGGAGCAACAAGAGTGGCTTCTGTATCTCCTTCCTCTTGATCCTGGTTCTGGGGCAATTTCTAAGGCTGCCACCTCTGCCTGTGGACAACACTGGCCTGTCCCCCAAGGACAGCCTCTGGTTCCCTTCCCTCGGACAAAGGCAAAGAGTAGTTTGGATTTGATATCCCGCTTTATCACTACCCTAAGGAGTCCCAAAGCGGCTAACAATTTCCTTTCCCTTTCTCCTCCACAACAAACACTCTGTGAGGTGAGTGAGACTGGGAGACTTCAGAGAAGTGTGACTGGCCCAAGGTCACCCAGCAGCTGCATGTGGAGGAGCGGGGAATCGAACCCGGTTCACCAGATTACAAGTCCACTGCTCTTAACCACTACACCACACTGGCTCTCGCCAGTGCCACATGGTGCCACATGGCCCCAGCACTCCACAGGGGGCTCTTGCTGTGTGCTTGCCAGAAGGCAAGGGGTCGGAGTCACTCTTGCACAGCCAAGCTGGCGAGGGTATCTGTGTGCCCTGAGCTTATTGATTCTTGGGTCTTCTACTGACTCTTTGTATGGCTATGGGCAAGTAACAAACAACTGTTATGTTTCTGAGCAGATTTGAAAGTGCAGAAAAAAAGAACACAGTCTGGGTCTTCTGGGACCGTATTGTGTTGGTTTAGACTGCTGGTAGCGAGTGCGAGTGGAGTGCATGAATAAATGCTCCCCAGTGCTACGCATCTCTGCACATGGAAAGCTAGAGGAGAAGGTTAGACTAAAGGCCTCCTCCCTCAAATCTTATCTTTCCACCTTCAGAGAAATCCATGTTTTAAGCAGTAGGGGGCATTGCAGCAGGCACCATTGGGGAAGCAGTTTTAGGGGAAAGCGATCCATGCTGTTATTGCTTCTAATATCTGTATGAAATATACTCAGAGTCGAGTGTGGATTTCATGCTCTTTATTCAGCTCAGAGTAGTGAGGAATGGAAGTTCCCCCGAAATGTCTGCTTTATATACATTATTTACACAATGGGCCCCATGTGATTGGCTAATTCTGGGATTCTCCTGTAGGTCAATCAGGTTGAGGATTCACTTCCACCCAGAGTTGGATTGGGTGGCTCCTGTGGACCAATCAGACTGCTGCATTCTGGATCCTATTGTTCTAGGACCAATCAGACTGCTGCATTTTGGATCCTATTCAACTTAGTACATAACACTGTAGTTGGGGAAAAGCGCACTTTATAATTTAGTATTTGAGTCCTGGAAACAGAGGCTCAGTTCCTGTGCTCTAGTTTCTGTTGTGGCAACGCCTGCTGTTAAGTGATGCTTGTGCCTCACGTTTCATGTTTGCCTGAAATCATACCTTTGTGAAAACAATCAAGGTTGCTCTGTTGGAAAGAGAGCTTGTTTTCAAGCCTGCTCTCCAGTCTGGAAACATCTGCTAATTTGGTGTTTGTCGTCTCCAAAATGTGCATATAGATTTGCATGAAGCCCAGGTCTCTTGCAATTAAGATGAAATGTTGGCTTTTATAAAACTATACGCGTGCCTGCGCCTTGCTATCACATAGTATAACGTCAAGCATTAAAAAGTGAAACTGGTGTGTTTGATATTTTCCTAAATTCTCGTTCTTACTGTGGCTTTATCCTTAGATCTGTGTTCAGTCACTGGTGGTTCCTTTGTGAACGCATAGCAAAAAGAAAAAGTGAAAGGAGTGGTCTTTCTTCAGGCCTTGTCTTTGTTCTCTGTGGCAGCATCTGCTGAAATGGACTTAGGGCACAATTCACCATGAAGTTCTCCTTAGCATGCCCGATGGAAATGAATGGGACTGGTACAGGAACACAACTGCTTTGATGTTGTGTTGCTCTTATTCATTTTAGGGGAGAATTCTCGGTCGATTGTATCCATAGAGGCTTTGCAAGTTTAAAAATGGTAGCTACAGCAGCGGGCAGTGGGGTGGATTTGCGCTGCTCACCTGATATACCTCTGGCTGAATCACTGCAGTGTCCTGGGATGGAGCAGGGTATGGTAGTGAAGTCAGCATGGTGGGGGAGCCAGTCTTGCAGATGCCCCCCTCCTCATTCTGCCTTTCTGAAGTGACCTAGCCGTAGAGGCCTGTGAGTGGTGCAGCCCCTTCTTCTTCTGTGTTAGCTGTATGCTTGATTCTTGCAGCTGAACTGAGATATCAATGTGCAGTCGTACCTCGGAAGTCGAACAGAATCTGTTCTGGAAGTCTGTTCGACTTCCAAAACGTTCAGAAACTAAGGCACGGCTTCCGATTGGCTGCGGGAAGCTCCAAGTACCAAAGCGTTCAGGATCTAAGGCGTGACTGTATATTATAACCCCAATTCTTAAGGGTTTTATTTACAGGGAGTTATTAAAATGCTTAGGGACGTGGGTGGCGCTGTGGGTTAAACCACAAAGCCTAGGACTTGCCGATCAGAAGGTCGGTGGTTCGAATCCCCGCCACGGGGTGAGCTCCCGTCGCTTTGTCCCTGCTCCTGCCAACCTAGCAGTTCGAAAGCACGTCAAAGTGCAAGTAGATAAATAGGTACCGCTCCGGTGGGAAGGTAAATGGCGTTTCTGTGCGCTGCTCTGGTTTGCCAGAAGCGGCTTAACCATGCTGGCCACATGACCTGGAAGTTGTACGCCGGTTCCTTCGGCCAATAAAGCGAGATGAGCGCCACAACCCCAGAGTCGGTCACGACTGGTCAGGGGTCCCTTTACCTTTATTAAAATGCTTAATAGTAATAATAATGATAATTATTAGTTATTAAATTTCTATGTGACTCTTCATCCGAGGAACATAGGGTAGTTTACCACACAGGCAATGACCATTTCACATGCATTTGATTGACTCCTGACTGCCAATGTGCACACCGTTTTTGACGCCAGAAGGGGGCGAATGGGGCGGGGGCAGATGGCCCGGTACGCAACCCCTGTGCAAATGGGGAGCTGCCTGTATGAAAATGCAAAAAATGCATAGCAAAGCAACAAACAAAAACAATAAACACGCACCTCCAGTATAAAAGGCCATAGATTGTTTAATTACCAAAAGCCTGGGAGACGAGGAATGGTTTTGTCTGGCACATAATGCTATGTATCAAAGGCACCAGGTGAGTCTCCCTAGGGAGAGCATTCGGCAAGTGGGGAACCACCACAGAAATGGCCTTTTCTTGTGTTGCCACCCTGCGGACTTCTCATGGAGGAGACACACAAAGAAGGGCCTCATATGATGACTGCAGGGTCTGGGTTGGTTCATACAGGGAGAGACAGTCTTTGAGGTATTGCGGTCCTCAGCCATTTAAGGCTTTATAGGTCAAAAACCAGCACTTTGAACTGGGCCCGGAAACAAATTGGCAGATAGTTCTGCCGGGAGAGCAACTGGGCTGCCGAATTCTGCACTAGCTGAATTTTCCGAGCCATCTTCAGAGGCAGCCCTATGTATAACATGTTGCAGTAATCAAACCTAGAGGTTAGCAGAGCCTGGACAACAGAAGTTAGGTTATCCCTGCCCTGGGAGGGGGCAGCTAGGGGACCAGCCAAAGCTGATGGAAGGCACTCTGCAACACCAAGACTGCCTGAGC